TTTTAGAGAAAGGCTAATATGAAAAGATGTGATTTTTAAGAGCCTTTTTTTAACACAAGGTGTGTCTAGAAAAGTGTTTCTGGTTGCTCTGCAGCTCCACAGACTTTCTCTCCCATGCCTGATGCAGCTGGCTGGAGGAGCAGAATGAAGTTGTGTCTGGGAGTGATGGAGCAGGAGAGAATAACAGAATAATCTGGGTTCGAGGGGACCTCCCGGAGGTTGTCTGATACAGCCCCTGGTCCGAGCAGGGCTAACTTCAAAACCAGAGCTGTTGCACAGGACTTTGTCTGGTCAGTTTATGAAAACTCCAGGAGGAGATTGCACAGCCTGGTCATTGGTTCTTGTGTTTGACACACAATTTTCCTATTAAATTTCTTTTTACTAATGCATACTGTGAGTCAGGCTGCCTGGCTTGCAGAATGCATTTGCCAAGTTGATGTGCTATTCTGCTTGCTTTCTTTTTTATTTGGAAATGTGTCGTGAGAAGGTATTTTGCTGGCAACATAAGAAATGTGCCAACAGAGGTATTTTGAAAAGCTTTTAAGTATGCAGACAATCCGCATTTTCCTACTCTTGATCTCTCTTTTCACAGTTTTGTTGATGTCTTCGTTTAGATCTATCTGAAAAGAAATGGTAACCTGTCACTGGGAACATCTTCTTAATTACAGTGTGAAATATCCAGTGCGCATTCTTCTGAAAGCTCTAAATAATGTGTTATTAAATTATAACTTGCATCATTAGAAATATTAATTGTTGCATAAATAATTAATAATCACTAAAAAACCCACCCACCTGCTCTTGTATGCTACCTTTCCAGATCAAAGCCAAATCAGATGCTGATGGCCAGGAACACGATGGTGGATAGTAAATACAGTAGATGGTCTTTGTAAGGTGCTGAGTTTTAAAGAGAAATAAATGCAGCTTTATGGCTAATTTTTTATGGTGGCAGTCTGTACAGTGCCTATTTTGTACTGGAAAAAAGTGAAGATGCTACTTTCTATGAAATGTTGCTGACAGCTTCCCAGCACTGGGAAGCTTTTAAGGGAGCATTAGGAAAGGTGTGGCTGAAATGGCAAACTAGAGTACAAATGATGCAATAAAGTTAGGTCAATGAAGGAACATGAATAGTCAATTAAGTGTACTCTGCATATTTTAATGTTATATAAAGCATGATAAAAAGCAGGAAAATTCTGATTCTTTTCTTTTCATATTTAATGAAGTCTCATTGCAAACTTTGTATTAGCATATGAGTTGAAGATGTCCATGATGTTTTTCTAAGAAAGAGAAGAGAAACTTGTTTAAGCTCTGTTTCGATATTGTTAATGATGGCTGTAGCTCATGCAGTCTACAACTGATCTATGGAGCTAAATGAGATGAGATTTCTGTTTTACTTAAACTGATGCACTTATTTGAACGTGAAGGTGGAAGGTGAAGTTCCCCATTAGTGAGAGCTTTGAATTTTGTCTTGTCATTTTTTTGTGGGCATAGTTAACTTCCTTTTTATGTTGACAGAGCAGAGATACCGAAGATTTATTAGGCGTGTTTTATGCCATCATTCCTTGGATAGTTTTAATTCAGCATAAACAAGTGCTTCCTCTGAGCAAGGCTGTCCCTTCCTGCCTCCCTCCGCGTCCCACTGCTTTCTCCTGTGCCCCTGCCGCCCGCCTTGCTAGGGATCGTGTTTGTACGGTTCCCCAGTGACCTGGCAGAGGGAAATAATCTGAGTTAAAATGAATCCAGTTCAAGGCTATCGGCCCTTCAGCTTGGTTCAGGACGTGGCTTCGCAG